TAGGGGGTGGGCTGGGGGGAAGGGGAGGGGGCAGGAATGGAGAGAACAAGGGAATCTGTGGCTGTTATGTAGAACTTAATAGTTCTACATAGTATTGTAAAATAAAAAAAATAAAAGAAAAAAAAGAAACATGAAAAAAATCACATTTTTACAATTTGTTCAAGGAAAATCCCCTTGACTGCAAATTCTTCTTCTCATCTATATATCCAACAATGAATTATAATGTCCCATTGAGTGCCTGATTAATCACCCTTGAAAATGATTTACATGAATGTGAAGACAATTTCCCCCTTATACTCTCTTTAGCATAGGCTCTCCCAACTAAGGAGAAAGATTCCATACTTTCCCACCCAAACAACCTCACCTGTGGATATTTGTAGAGCTGGAGAAATGGTGTCACCCTCACAGATGTTGATGACATTGGTCCTGTAATTGCTACTCTACAATTAGCCTCATCTTCACAGTTGTAGTTAAGGAGAAGAGTATGCATTTCTTCAAAATTATTTGTGAAATTTTGATATCCCCGTTTATCATCAGAATTGCTAGGGACGAAGTGAAATACAAGAGACACATTTGGTAGAAGATACAGACTCCTGTTGATTTCTTCCACAGCAAAAGCAAAAGGCAGAAGAAATGGGTAGGTTCCAGTTAGTATTCTGAAAAAAAGGGCACAGGCTTCAATATGGATAAGGCTGTGTAGTTAATACAAGGAGTACCATGCATTTCATGTCTTTCCAGATATAGATTGACAAATCCCAAGTGCTGTAAGGTTGGAAAAACAAAAGATGCTTGGGAGCTTGAAAAAAAAAAACCTAAAAAGTCAATGAGAGTGGTTGTCACAAAAATAAGAAATGTGTTCTTGTTCACTTTGACAGAGAAGTGAACCTTGGCTATATGAGTACTGAATGTACATTTGATAAAAGATATGTGTGTGTGTATCTGAAGGGGACTTGAGAATGCAGTTTTCATGGGGGACAGAAGAGGAAGCTGGATTATTCAGGGCTGGAATTTTAAGTGGTTTTAAGGTGCCTGCCAACATTGTTGTTTGAAACTGAACTCAGGTTCTTTGATAGCACAGCAAGTGTTCTTCACTGCTGACCTTTGTCTACAGCCTCAGTTTATTACTTCTTTCTATATTCTATATATTCTTCAGTCTCATATAGACAGTAGACATTTTTCCATGTGTTTGTAGGCAGCCTCTTACTTTGCTCATAATTTTTGTGAATGCAGACAAATTTAAGTTTTTACAATCACAGTTGTTAATTTGTGGTCTTATTATCTGAATTATTTGATATATTTAAATGTTTCCTCCATGTTGTCTTTATCAGTTTCATGGTTTTAGGTCTTACACTAAAGACTTTGATCCATTTTGACTTAATTTTGGAACAGGACAATGGTTGGGAGATACTTCTTTTCAACCTCTGGTTGGCAGGTTTTCCACTAGCATTTCTTGAGTAAGCTCTCTCTTCTCCATGTTATATATGGGGGGATTGCCTACTATTAAATTTTTTCCTAGAGTTTATTTTGATAATGTTTTTCTCATCTCCTTATTTCTTCTGGGTCCTCCCCAACTCCCTACCCACCTACCTCTATATTATTTTTCTTTCTTTTTTCTTTATAAACAATTGAAAAGGGGTAGAATAAAAAGGCATAAAAAACCACTAAAGAGTTGGGGGATTTATCTCAATAATAGAGCACTAGCCTAGCAAGTGTAAGGCCCTGGGTTCAGTCCTCAGCTCTGAAAAAAATAATAAACCACAAAAATGAAAATCAAAATAAACATCAAAAATCAAATGGACATCTGTTTGCATAAGTTGCTGCGTAAGTCCTCTCTTAAAACAGTTGGACTAGACATCACTTTATGAGTATAGCAGAATATAACCAAGGATCGTTTCATTGACTCTTTTGCCATTCATGTTTGGTTCTATCCTAGGTCTCTGGGATATCCCACTTCTCAGTCCTGGCTAGCATGGGGGACTCCCTCTCAGGGTATGGGTCTCCTGTTGTGCCAGTCATCTCTTGGTCACTCACACAATTTGTGCACCATCTTTACCCAAAAAATATCATGTAGGCTAGACAAACTGTAACAGCGAAACATTTACAGCATGTGGGGAATCCTGCTTTGGGTGCAGAGGAAGAATTGTAGGACTCAGTGATGTCAAGAACACCACAAGAATACCCACAAAATCAACTAACCTGGGATCAGAAGGGCTAAAAAGACAACCACGGAGCCTATAAGGGACTGACCTAGGCCCTCTGCCTATATGTTACAGTTGTGTAACTTGATCTTCATGTAGGACTCCTAGTAGTGAGAGTGGAGGCAGATATCTCTGACTCTGTGGCCTGCAATGATGACCCGTTCCTCCTGCTGGATTGCCTCATCCAAACATGGTGGAGGAGGAGGTATCAGGTCTCACTGCAGGTTGATAAACCATTGCTCAGGATATGCATGGGATGCCTACCTGAACCTAAACATAAACAGTAGAAGGAGAGTGGATGGTGAGGCCTGGGAGAATAAAGGAGGGGGAACTGAGAAGAGGGAATGGAAGGGAAGCTTTGGGTGGAATGCAAAATCAAGAAAATAAATAAATAAAAATATAATAATAAATATGAAAAAGAAACAGACAAAAAGTCTACAAAAATACCATTCTGTCCATTTCGTGTTATCCAACTACTCTTGTGCATGGGACTGGTCCTGAAGTGTGTCTAAAAATATACTCAGTGACACTCCACTGGAGAAAACAGATTTTTCCCTTTCAAAGCAGGTATCAATTACACATAACTTCTTCTTTAGGGGTGAGAGCTGGTTTCGACTTCCTCTCTCAATCATGAGAAAACATCTGAAACTGTACCATTTGACTTTGAACATGCTTTATGTGTGCTCACACAGACTGGGTGAGCTTATATATGTATCAGTGCCATTGTGTCTGGAAGACTCTGCTTCCTTGGAGTTATCCATCACCTTTGACTCATAATTCTGTCTGTCTCCTCTTCCACATAGATGATGAGACAACTTCCTGAAGACAATGTGTTCCAAAGTTCCTCGCTCTCTGCACACAATGTACACTTGTGGGTTTCTGTGTTAGTTCCCATCTACTAAAAAAAAGCATCTTCTCTGGTGAGAGCTGAGTAATGCACTGATCATTGAGTATAGTACAATATCATTAGGATTCAATTTAATGCTGAGTTCCTTAAACTGAATATTAGTACTAGATTTTCCCCTATGTCATTGACATGTACACTCTGAAGTTCTGGTAATCTTTATCCATGTCAGGTCAAGTTTCATTTCATGGAGTGGACTTTAAATCTTTTCAGAGAGTGATTGAATACACCCCTAATACTTATACCATTATTGTACTTATGTATCATGCAGGCAGGTCACCATTGTAGATCACAGAGTCTTTAGCTGGATTGGTGGTTACATTTCTGGCCTTGCTGGACCTAAACCCTTCAAAAGAATTATAGAAAACCAGAGGAGATAGTGCAGGTATCTGATTTTGGTATATCTGAGTCCTTCAAGAGATCAATAGCAACTATGTTGCCCTAAGCTTCCTCCTCCAGCACCTACACACTCTGATTCAAAAACCAATTAACACTTGGCATTATTTGAACACCAATTTTTAATGTAATATTTTAGCTTCAGTTGACTAACTATGTTTAGGTCCTAAGATTTGAGTGATTAAGAGAAAAAGGCTGTTAACTAATTAACCATGTCTGGATATTATTAATCACATAAAATAGTACATGTATTATTTGTCTTTTCCTTAAATCTCTCATTGGTTTAGTTTCTTCCTTGTACCCTTGTAGCTATTCCTTTAAGAGATGCGCCAGAATGTTTTACAATCTGCAGTTGTTATCAATCACCAATTAAACTGACCAACCTTTGCCAATTGTGACTCTTATCAGAATGTTTGTCCCTGAGAGTTTGCTTTGTGTTTTTTTTAATTACTAACAAGTTGTTAATGAATGTGTGTGTGTGTGTGTGTGTGTGTGTGTGTGTGTGCACTTGGGAATGTGTAATGAAGAATAAAAATGGAAGAAACAAGGAACACAACAATAAAGAGCACACAGAATGATGAGCATCTCTCCATGTGTGTAATGTTATTATGGATATCTTTCACATTTCCAGAGCTCCTGAGAGGCAATTCCTCAGAGGACCCTGGGTAGTGACTGGGGATTGGTACCTTGATTCCTACAGCCCAGCTCAATATGGTCCATACCATCCTTGGGCAGATAGGCCATTATTGTACAAGACAGCAAGCTGAGCCAACCATGGAGATCAAGCAGTAGGCAATGATCCTCCATGGTTCCTGCCTCTGCTCCTGCTTAAGTTTCTGATCTGTCTTTCTTCAGTGATGGACTGTAATCAAGACAGGAAAGCAAGAAAAACATCTCCTCTACTACTTTGTTTTGGTCAGTGATTTATAACAGCAACAAAGCAAACTAAATTATAAACCAACACAGTAATAATACTTATGATAAGGAGCCAACAATGTAATAAAGAGAAAGAAATTATGGCTATTTCTGCTAAAAGCAGTAACAAGAAAATGGTATCCATATCTTCCATTCTCAGAGTGAGGATGGGACAGAATCATAAAAGATGTCGAAGTTATGGTTCTTTATTGCTGTGAAGAGACACCATGACCATGGAAACTCTTATAAATAAAAGGCAGGTAAAAAGTTGTTCGCTGATCTTCAACAGGAATCATGGTATGTGCATGCCTATAGAACCATGTGTACATGTGCACACACACTCATACACACACAAACACACACACACACTATAATTGATGTTTTTCTTTTGCCTTAGTGGCTACACATGAACCTACTGATATTTTCATTGTCATCTGCTGCGTCAAGGCCCCACATTCAGCACAGCACAGTCCACTCAGGCTGTTTCCCGGCAGGGCTTCAGGTTCTCTGGCCCAGCTCTGCCTCATCTGCCATATATAGGTTTAAATTAAGTCTCTATTGTTCTATTCATCAATCGGACTTGGGAGTCAAAGGCTAGGGTGAAAAACCTGCTAGCTCAGAGAGATTGAGTAGCAACCAGATGATCTTGCTTTTTGCCTGCTGACTCAGCAAGAGACACTTCTCTTTCCTTGTCCCAGAATCAAAGGATGCTCAAACTCTAGTCTCTGCCCTTTCCTTCCTGTGTGTCTTCTCTATCCAAATTGCTGCCTCTCTATGGTTAATTCTAATCAGCTAGTCACTGATTCAAGGTAAACTTTATTGAAAGTCTGCAGTGTCACAGTGTGAACAAAATAGATAATGATAAATTAATTAAAACCTAAAGAAAAACAAAGAACAAACAAGTTAAAGAAGAATTCAAGAGAAATTTGAGTAGTTTCAAAGGCAGAGAAATACAATTATCTAGGATGTATGGATCTGGTTAATCAAGCATAAAAAGTATTTTGAAATTTCACTAGCAAGTCCCCAGACTTCCCTTCTGGACCAGAGACCCCCGGCAGACTCTTAAACTCCATGTCATGCCCCCATGCCCATCTGACAGAGACCACAGCCACTTTCTGAGACTTAGAGACTGGTCCCCAGGTCCCATCTTGCCCTGGACTTCCCTTCTGGACCAGAGGTAAGTTTCCCTGGCTCAGCCCAGACCCCATCACTGGGCACCAGCCACTCCATGGAAATCTGCCCA